AATACTGTGATGTATTATGCTGTGTTCTGGTGGGTTAATTATGCTACAAGTTGCCATAAGAGGGAGCTATAGATCATGGTTTAATTCTCCTTCTCTTTTTCACTGATCTCTCTTGATACTGATACTGACTGACCACGGACCGATACTGACTAACCCTGTTTATTTTGATATTCTGTTGATATCGAAGGTTATTTGTTGTATTATGGTTTGATATTTGTCTGCTGTAAAAGACATGGAACCGGTAAGAAGACTTTATAACTGGATATTTCTGGACTGTTAAAAATGTGTATGACATGGACTGCTTATTGGACTGTGCTATTTCTTCAAGTAAACATTAATACAACTTGTTCAACTCTGTGTGGCTGTATATTTCTTCATAATTGTTCTCATAAACCGTTCTCCGTGTGCATATATTTTTTATACAAGGGTTACTCTGCACATATCCTAACATTGGTTATGGGCCCAGTGAGATATTGAGAACCAGTGTGAATATACAGTTTCATATTCAAACAGCTAATTGTGGTTTATTGTTACTATGGCACAAGAACAGTCAACCAGTCTATTCCTGATAACCCGGTTGGATGGAACAAACTAGGTTTCCTGGTCTATAAAGTGCAGCCTACTTCTGAATAAAGAAGGATTATGGACTGTAGTAAATAATCCACTGGATGTAACAACTTTGGATCCATCGAATGATGAAGATAAAAAGAAAATAGCTGAATTTAACCAAGATAATGAAAAGGCTCTTAGTATAATTGGACTGACACTGAGTGATCCTTAGCTAGTCCATATTTGTGGTCAAGAATCTGCTGCTATATGCTGAATTATTAGAATTCTTTAATAGTTTCTGTGCTAGGAGTTGGACAGAAATCCCTTCCAACTGTAGGAATGTTTATTTCTATAAAGAGTAAGAAAACCCCCCAATATCCCCATAGTGTGACCAAATCTAAAATAATCCTCCCCATTTAAGTTACATTTATTTAAGACAGTAACAGGTATGTTTCAATTTCTGATGAGATGATAAATCAGTTTGTTAAAACCCTGTTCATAACTATATGGAAAACAGACACCAAGTTTGGAGAACATTATAGAGTACTTGGATAAAATACAGTTTATGAAATTATTTATAAACCACTAAAAGAAATACTTAACAAGCTAATTACAGGACACAGAACAAAAGATGTAATCTGAAGAATAAATCCCCAGGGTCAGATTGATTTTTCTGCACTATAAAAAAACCTTTTTTTTTTTTTTTTTGGACAAAACATTAACTTAGATCATGAATAGAATGCAGTAATGTGATGTGAGTGGCACAAAAGCCCTTAGGTCTCTGATTTATAAGAAGGGATCCAACCCACCCAGCATTTTATGGGCTTCAACAGAGACAATAAGCTTTTCACAGCTATTTTACGATAAGGTTAAATAGTCTTTCAAATGGCATAATTCATTCTAATCATTAGATATCCTGAAGAAACAGAAGAAATAATATCAAATATACACTGCTCAAAAAAATAAAGGGAACAGAAAAATAAGACATCCTAGATCTGAATGAATGAAATATTCTTATAAAATACTTTGTTCATTACATAGTTGAATGTGCTGACAACAAAATCAAACAAAAATTATCCATGGAAATCAAATTTAGCAACCCATGGAGGTCTGGATTTGGAGTTACACTCAAAATTAAAGTGGAAAAAAACACTACAGGCTGATCCAACTTTGATGTAATGTCCTTAAAACAAGTCAAAATGAGGCTGTGTGTGTGGCCTCCACGTGCCTGTATGACCTTCCTACAACGCCTGGGCATGCTCCTGATGAGGTGGCAGATGGTCTCCTGAGGGATCTCCTCCCACACCTGGACTAAAGCATCCCCCAACTTCTGGACAGTTTGTGGTGCAACATGGCATTGATGGATGGAGCGAGACATGATGTCCCAGGTCTGGAGAACGGGTGGGCTAGTCCATAGCATCAATGCCTTCGTCTTGCAGGAACTGCTGACACACTCCAGCCACATGAGGTCTAGCATTGTCATGCATTAGGAGGAACCCAGGGCCAACCGCACCAGCATATGGTCTCACAAGGGGTCTGAGGATCTCATCTCGGTACCTAATGGCAGTCAGGCTAACTCTGGCGAGCACATGGAGGGCTGTGCAGCCCCCTAAAGAAATGCCACCCCACACCATTATTGAACCACTGCCAAACCGGTCATGCTGGAGGATGTTGCAGGCAGCAGAACATTCTCCATGGCGTCTCCAGACCCTGTCACGTCTGTCACATGTGCTCAATGTGAACCTGCTTTCATCTGTGAAGAGCACAGGGCTCCAGTGGCGAATCTGCCAATCTTGGTGTTCTCTGGCAAATGCCAAACGTCCTGCACGGTGTTGGGCTGTAAGCACAACCCCCACCTGTGGACGTCGGGCCCTCATACCACCCTCATGGAGTCTGTTTCTGACCATTTGAGCAGCCACATGCACATTTGCGGCCCGCTGGAGGTCATTTTGCAGGGCTCTGGCAGTGCTCTTCCTGTCCCTCCTTGCACCAAGGCAGAGGTAGCAGTCCTGATGCTGGGTTGTTGTCCTCCTACGGCCTCCTCCACGTCTCCTGATGTACTGGCCTGTCTCCTGGTAGCGCCTCCATGCTCTGGACACTACGCTGACAGACACAGCAAACCTTCTTGCCACAGCTCGCATTGATGTGCCATCCTGAATGAGCTGCACTACCTGAGCCACTTGTGTGGGTTGTAGACTCCGTCTCATGCTACCACTAGAGTGAAAGCACCACCAGCATTCAAAAGTGACCAAACCATCAGCCAGAAAGAATAGGAACTGAGAAGTGGTCTGCAGAACCACTCCTTTATTGGGGATGTCTTGCTAACTGCCTATGCTTTCCACCTGTTGTCTATTCCATTTGCACAACAGCATGTGAAATTGATTGTCAATCAATGTTGCTACCTAAGTGGACAGTTTGATTTCACAGAAGTGTGATTGACTTGGAGTTACATTGTGTTGTTTAAGTGTTTCCTTTATTTTTTTGAGCAGTGTATATGTTAGTATCACCAATGTCAACTAGATAAATAAGAATGTAGCAACATTTTTTCTTGATATAAAAAAAGCTTTCAGCATTTTGGAAGAACTCTTCATATTCACAATCTTGAAAAAGATGAACTACAATTCAATTTTTTTCTAATGGACTCTAAGAATTTATAAACCAAATCAACTGTAAATACATATATACCTCAAAATATGCTATTATGAAAAGGACAAGATAAAAGGGTCTTCCTAACCCTAACCCTTTTCTGTTTTTACTGGCCTGAGCCACTAAAAAGATATAAAAAAGAGTAAATTTCAGGAATTAAACAGACAAATCAAGAGCATAAATTAAAATTCATATGGTGTTGGTGATTACTTAGTTACTTAACTAAAGAGTCCTTAGGATAAAAAATATGGAACATACAAACGGTATCTGGACACCAAATTAATAAAGAATAAGACATAGATGATTACATGGCACTTAACTGAAGGGGGGGAAACATCATTTGAAAAAAAACAGTAAGATTTAATATCAGCATTAAACTGATCAAGTAGTTGGGAATTTATATAACTAGAAACAGTAAAAAATTATTCAAAAATAATTATTTGCAGATCTGGAAAAATAATGATAGATATTTTAAGATGGAAAAAGCTAAGCTTATCTTGGCTACGAATAATATTGGCAATAAAAATTTATGTTGTTAAGAAATGATCTCAATAATTTAAGACAGTATATTTTGAATGAATGACAAAGATGAATGAATAACTTCATTTAAGTAAATCACAAGGCTACTAAATATAGAATTCTACATGCTACCATACGAGGGAAATATTTACTTTCATGAATATGCTAAAAATTATTAGTGGAGAGATGCTGCAAGATTTAACCTTTAATAAAAGAAAGATGAAATCTTTTGAGAGCCTCTCTTCAGAATAAACAGAAATACCTCAGTGGTTGCAATATTCAAATAAGTAAGACTTTTCAACTACAAAAACAAGCGATTTTATAGAATTTGAAATGCTTATATTATGAAAGTCAGAATATCTGCTTCTTTTATGTTACTGAATTGTGATTCAGTAACAGAAATTGAACAAGTTAAATACTATATGATTTAATGGATGCAGAATTTAAACAGAACAATTGATATTCAACAATGGGAATATCAATGGAAGGTATGTTTTAGGTTTACTGTGATCATTATATCTAGAGGAAAATGCTGTTTTTTTCAGTAGCACATTATCTAGCAATGATTTGTCAAAACGGATAATACATATTTAAAAACTGCAGGTAATGTAATAAAGAGCTGTGGTGGCACAGTGGTTAGAATGCAGTAATACAAGCTAACTCTGCCAACTGCCAGCAGTTCAATCTTGACCAGCACAAGGTTGATCCAGCCTTCCATCTTCCAAGGTCAGTAAAATGAGGCCCCAGATTGTTGGTGGCAATATGCAGACTCTGTAAACAGCTTAGAGTGGGCTGTAAAGCACTGTGAAGCAGTTTAAATCATCTTCCATATCTAGTGGAAGTTCACAATTTTGTAAGACCATTTTTTTCTTCCATTCAAGTGTGTCCAATTGTTGGAGGCTGCCCCAACAAGCCCCTGCAGTTTTCTTTGCAAGGTTTTTCAGAAGTGACTTGCCACTGCCTCCTTCCTAGGGCTGACAGAAAGGGACTGGCCCAAGGTCACTCAGCTGGCTTCATGCCTAAACTGGGACTAGAACTTACAGATTCCCAGTTTCTAGTCAATGTTATACCAAAGTGGCTCTCTCATTCATTTTATTATATTTATACATTTAATATTTTGAAATATTTAATATATTTTCCTTTTCTTGTCTTTGTCTTTTTCTGTTTTCACTCTTCAAATATCTTTTAAAACTAATACATTTAAATTATTTGGAAAAATAATAAATTAATTCCTGTCAAACTAATAAAATAATTTTAAAAACAATCATGACTTATGGTTATTTTACCTTTAAATTTAATATCCAAACCGCTGAATTCTAGTTCAACTCCTTGAAGTGCTTCCCCAAGAGTTTCATGGTAGTGATCAATGCTTTTTTTAGATCCACCACAAAAAGGGAGAGAGAAGTATTTGTAAGTTTCCTGGCGATTGTGATATGGTCCTACTGTATTCATCCATAAAACAACTTCTTCTTTATCTTGGTACTGAAAAGAAACCATATTTTTTAAAAAAGAATTATCAATAGGCACATTGTTTTGATTGGAACAAATTTTCAGAGAGAAATATGAGGAAAATGCTTTAAAATATTGACAGGCAACTCCTGGTTTGCATGCCATCCCCAGAAATTATACCATTAAAAAAGAGTAATGTGATCACCACCTGCATTTTGGCAGGGAAAGCAAAAGTGTCTACCAGGTAGTCATCATTTAGCAACCAGAACTGGGACTGCCAATTTAGTTGCTAAGCACCACAGTCACTAAGTTGAAAATCATATGACCATAACTGTGCTTAGGATTTTATAGTTTTCCTTTCTCCCCATTTTCCCACCCTCTGGAATGAAGTTCCTCTCCAATCTTCTTTGCTTTGAGGGTGGAAGGAAAAAAATGGGTCAAATGCAGGGGGAGACTACCCACTTGTTTAGCAATTTCTCTGGTCTATAAGAGGGAAGAGAGAAAAAATGGGTCAGATACAGGTACTGTGTACTGAATATAATGGGAAACACATGACTAGAGAGAGAGAGAGAAAGTTGTGAAGGTCATAAATGTGCCCCTTGCAGGGCAGAGTGTTATTTTTTTTAAGACTGTCATAACTTTAAATGGTTGTTGCATGAGGTAATTGGTAAGGAGATCTATCTGTAGATTTCTATTTAGGTTTAACAGTCGCCTTAATGTTTAAGTTCTATCTATGTCCCATACTACCATTCTAGCTTTAGCGGTCCAAAGTAATATATTAAAAAAATTAGAGAGTGACTTCATGAATGAAACATCATTTTTTCTTGTATTCAATTTCTACTTGTTGCATATTTAGCTGGCCAAGACTAAAATTAGCCGGTTTTCTGCACAATGTATCCACAAAGCATCCAGCTAGATGGCAGCACCCAGCTGATCTTGGCTATTCTCAGAAAAATTAATAGGCCTGGACTTGATTAATACTAATAAGAGAAATCACCAGGAAATCCCAATGCTATAGACCAGCGGTCGCCAACCAGTGGGCTGTGAGAAAATGTTGGTGGGCTGCAGCATGCTGAGGCGGGGCAATCCTGCAGACTCCCTAGCAAACCCATGTCGTGGCTGCTGCCTCCTGCCTCGGTGCATCAAGGAGGCCAAGCAGCAGCAGGAAGAGCGCGGACCTCCTGAGCTGCAGGAAGCAGCTGCCCTCAGGTGAAGATGTTGCAAGGGGGAGGCTCAACCCCCTCTTTCTCCTCGTCTGAAGTGCTCACAGCAGGAAAGAGGCAGCTTGTCTGTGAGCGCTTTGCGTATGAGCACTTCTGGTGAGGAGGAAGAGAAGCTCCTGGGGTCGAGCCTCCCCCTTGCAACATCTTCCCCTGAGGGCATCGCTTGGCAGCCGCTCAAGCTCCTCGATGCGCAAAGGCAAGAGATAACACCAATTCAGAGGTTCCTCTCCCCTCACCCCCATGCAGGCCAGGCCTATGCCACGATCTTCCGCGCATATGAGTCCATCTGCTGCCAGTATCACTCCTGTTGCCCCACCTTCCCGACAGCCATCTGGTCTTCAGCATGTGGCTTGTCAGCCCAGAGTGGAGGTTGGCCGCTGTGCTGAACTGTGCACACTCACGCCCGCTGCTCTTCCCAGCAGGGGGAAGCGACCCATCTCAATTTGGACTCTGGGTTTGTGACTAGTATGTCTTAACTGGGATTGGGATGACTTCGCCTCACCTGTGGGACCGCCAAGTAGCAGCTGCCAGCTCCTTTCTCCACATGCCAAGTCTTACCACGGGAAAGAGAGCAGCTGGGGTATCAATGTAGCCACTTGGTTAGTTCGTAATCGCCCTACCCGAAGAAGGAGGTGCTGAAGGAGGTGCCGGAGGAGGAGGCAACAGTATTGGAGAAGCAAGCCAGATGTTAAAGTGCATCAAGGAGGGGGAGGGTTCCAGGTGGGGGGAGGCTTCCAGCCCAGCCCTCCTTCCCTCTCCCAACTCCAGGCAGCCACACCTGGCAAAGGAGGGAGAGGTTTCCTCTGACTTGGGGGAGATATGAAATGACAGGAGACCAGATTTTTTTTGGGGGGGGGGGGGGGGTGTGCTCTGCTTTTCTTGTTATTTTTTTGTTATAATTAAATAAGCATTTTTATATTTAAAAATATATATTTATATATTAAAAATTAACTTTTTAAATAGTACATTTATATTTAATATAAAAAAATAAAAATGTTGTATTAAATATATTATCTTTTTTTAAAATTCATATTAGTGGTCCTCCTGATTTAAAAGTGTGAGTCTGGTGGTCCCTGAGGTCTAAAAGGTTGGCGACCCCTGCTATAGACTAAGATAGGAAAGCTAAATAATTAGCTCAGAATAAGATAATGCCAGTTGTTCTACTGCCGAAGAGAAAATTTTGTGGACGTGATCAAGAACTGAGCTTAATTTACCTTTTCATTTATAAAGCACAATTTCTCGATTCACATTTAACACTATTAAGAAAATCACACAAGGGGGTTAGCATGATGTGTGTATCCAGTCAAATTGTTACCAGTTAATGATGGACACAGAAATAACCTGATGTCCTGGAATAGCAATTCCCAAAATTCAAAGCTGGCAACTTGGAAAAAAATATATCTTCTTTTCACTTTTTGATAAATTGAAGTGTAGAACTATTTCCAATGCTATTATTTTAACAATAGCATATAGCTTGCAGTCCCATATAATATTCAATGTAAATAGCAGGATGCAACCTTCTGAAGCTTCTTTTTGTAGGCACTAAAGTCACTTGGAAAACTGCTAATAATTTCTGATATTCTGAGATGGAAAATACTGAAAATCTGTGTTGTAAGCCCTTCATGCATTCATTGACTTCAAGTCAGTTTTTGATTTGTAGTGACTGCCTGGACTAGTCCCAGTTTTTTTGGCAAGATTTTTTCAGAAGTGGTTTGCCATTGTCACCTTCCTAGAGCTGAGAGAAAATAACTAGCCCAGGTCTACTGATCTGGCTTTGTGCCTAATTTGGAAATAGAATTCATAGTCTCCTGGGTTCTAGCCAAATGATTTAATATTATTAAAAGTAAATAATGGCCATTTTAGAGTGGTCTGGAAACCTATTCATGTAGCCAAGATATAATCCCAAAAACAAAGACATAGAATATCAGTATCTATTGCTATTGGGCTACCCAAACAGGCCATTTTATAACATTAATTTGCTGTCTTGTTTAGATCTGAACTGTTAAGTGTTGTATACAGGATAGCAATTTCATTATATGTTACTGAAAAAAGGCAATATGCTTTACTGAGCAGAAAACATGGAAACTGAATCCAGAATACCAATCTTTTAATGTGTTTTGGATTTCTAGAAATTGAAAACACACAACTGGACTTTTAATACTATATACTACTACTTGTGCCTACTTTTTAAAAAAATGGCCCAAACTTCCTTACAATTTTTATTGACTATTTCCTAGTATGATTTGATTGCTTATTGTACCCTATGACTATTATTAATTGTACCTTATGATTCTTGACGAATGTTATCTTTTCTTTTATGTATACTGAGAGCATTTGCGCCAAGACAAATTCCTTGTGTGTCCAAACACACTTGGCCAATAAAGGATTCTATTCTATTCTATTCTATTCTATTCTATTCTATTCTACTCTACTCTACTCTATTCTATTGATCATCAGAGCCATTTTAAGACTGGACAAAGGTCTGGTGCTAGTACATACATGTACATACATAGTACATAGTACTAGAGGTACTATAACTCAGAGACACTGCAACCATCATAAATACATGCTGGTGGCCAAGCACCTGAATTTTGATCACACCACCATGGAGATGCTGTGATGGTTGTGATGATCAGCTGAAAGTTACTTTTCTCAATGCCATTGTAACTTTGAACAGATGCTGAACAAATGGTGGTAAGTTGATGACTACCTGTACACATTTTCATGCAGAAGATTTCACAATCAAATCTAGCAGCACACCTCTGCACAAGTTTTCATGTAATTTTCTACTTCTTTTCTCAATTTTTTTCTCAATATTGCAATCATTCTCCCATCGTTCCAACGTTTTGATAATTTGTTGTAACAGCTTTATCCTTTTCTTCCTGCTTGCACGATGCCCTTGCATTCAATCCCTTGGTCTTTATATACTACTTACATGTATCTCTGTTACTTGCTTGACATTTCTCCATCTCAACAGTTGGATGCTTTCACTCTGACATTTTCAGTCTCTAAGCATTCGAAGACTGCCCTCTATCCTATCATCCACATCATCAGACATCCTGGTACAGTAATTTTGAATTTCTTACATTTTCCTTGCTTCATATATGCAAATATGCTGCAAGGCATGTTGTTTTTCCCTGTACAATACTTTTTGGGGGGTGGGGCAATATTCTCTTTTCAGCCAGCCCTCTAATTCCTCTAATTCAGTTTTTCCACTTCTATTACAACTTTTAATTCATATCTTGATACTGCTAATTCCTCAACTGGCTTTCTATTGCCTTTTTCAAAGAACTCCTTTTTTACCTTTAGAAACTAAATACCATCTTATTTTCTGCTATATTGTGTATACATGCTTGTCACATTTGCCTAGGTCTGTCTTTATCACATCTCTCCTTCCTTCTTCAATTACCTGAATTTCAAGGACAGTTTATAAGTGCAACTGTAAGTCCAATATGTCTAAAAATGTTCTAACATTATTTGCCCAATATCCTGGTTTTCATGTTCCTTTCTTTTCTGCCTTTACTTGCAACCACTAACTTTCAAGGGAATAGCCATTAAAAAATTATACTATGTACTCACTGCCTTAGTGTTAGCACTGGATGACTTTTGAGCGGCATTACAAGGGCAAGTGTATGATTAAGTCATAATGGAAACCTAGCCATGATATAAAGCATTGTTGGCAAGAAGAGGGTAATACACAGATTTCATGCAATTCCTTGAATGCCCTTTTTTCTGCTGCCTTCTGGAGCATCCTTGGATTGCCTCATTAAAAATCTTTGGAAAATCCTTGAAATCACTGATTCAGATTTTCATAGTTTGCCAGCAGAAAA